GTATTCCGGTCTGCGCTGATTGGTTGTTATTAATTGACCTGTGACATCATAATTGAAGGGTGGCACGCAATCATCATAGGGATCCTTGCAGGCTCTCTTTCCCCAGAGAGCCTGCTCGCAGGCTAATATTGTTGTTAATCACGTGACAAAAACATTACGCTTTGGTTTGGTTTGCTTTTCATTTTGCTCTCAAAGATAAGGGGAAAATTAATCTTTAGTAACTTTGTTTTGGTCTGATTTTCTTGCTAAGAACATGAAGTGGACCTTTAAGGACGAGCATACGAATGGTAAGGTTTAAGAAGTTGTTTATTTTGTCATTTTTTTGTTTTCGAGTGTCGTAAATTACAAGCCAATTTTGTGTTCCCTTGCAGAAGTGAGACGGGCTGAATCAGCCAAAATTCGTTCGAAATATCCTGATAGAATCCCGGTAAATGTCAAATTTTATTTCCTTGTGAAATTCCTTACTTCTTTCTTAGTGGTTTAATCGAGTTTTATCTTCTCTGCTCAAAATAGGTCGTCGTAGAAAAAGCTCCCAAATCAACAATTCCTGATATCGACAAACGAAAATTTCTTGTTCCTAACGACTTAACAGGTTGAATTCTTTTATGTATATCACACTAATAATGATCTAAATCTGCCCCATATTTTACTCAAACTTCTAGCTTTCTTTAGCCTTTGCCAACGCCACAAATTTTGACAAGTTTTGTATGTTTTTAGTCGCTCAATTCATGTACATAATCAGAAAGAGAATTCAACTCGCTCCAGAAAAGGCTATGTTTTTGTTCGTCAACAAAGTCCTGCCAACAACAAGGTAAATATAAAATATATAAGTGCTAAACTCGTATTTAAAGTAATTTTACATGTAAATTTGTTACGCCTTTCAATAATACCCTTATTGACTAAAGATACGTTGTTTTTAAAGAGCAAAATAGACGGGCAGAAGTCAATGTAAAAATAAAAGCATTATTTATATTTTGATCCAAAATTCCCAATGTTTTCTATTGCGGTTTTGAATATTTCAGCATTGATTCTGACTAAAATTTTAGGTAGCTAGATATAAGAATTGTAATAAATTTGATAAATATCGCATGAAATGGAAAATAGAGCGTAGAAATCGTATAAAAAACTCATTCTAAGAAACGTTTTTAGCCGGAAGTAAACCACGGTGAATGGAAAATTGCGAAATTTTTTATTAATATTGCGAAATAATTTTGAAATTTGATATAGAATGTGTTTGTCAATTTCGTTTATGCTGTGAACTTTGTACATATGTTGGCTGCACCCATTTTTTCCTGCAGGTGGAATATTAAAATTATTCAAGATTGTATAGTTTCGGTGGCATATGTTAATGACCGAAACAGTCACATAAAACCAGGTGTAGATATAGTTATACTACTTTTTTACTGTTTGCGCGAACAAATTCGCCTAGTGGAGAACGGGCTTAAGGCCTGTTTCAAACGACACGCTTCTCATGTGCCGAATGAATCATCCTATCTTGGCAAACCGGGATCGTGCAAATAGCCCCTAAGATATGTTGCTGTATGGCAATTGAACAGATCAAACTTATAAAAACATGATCGAATTTAACTGAATTGTGTCCTTTTATTTCTGTCCCATGTTAATTCTCAAAAAAACTTTTATTCTTTAACCCCCTTTAAGTGGCAATGTGCCCTACTTTATTATTTTCCTTTGTCTAATGCCAGACTCATCAAGAGGAGAGTGCTGCCACTCAATGGGTTAATTCTACTTAAAGCCAAACTTGTTTATTCACGAAGAGTAGAGACAAGTTTGTCCATTAAATTATTAAGGTTGAGCAAGCATTGCAGTAATAAATTTACATGGTGTTTCCACAAACAAAAAGTATTATATGACCAAGCATTGTTAGCCTAAATTTGATGAGACATAAACAATCACAAAATGCCGGCATTATTTGTTACCAAAACTACAAATGTTATTTATACAGAAACATGTGACATGTTCATATGACAGCATGGTTCACGAAGAAATTCTTTGGAATAAAAATCATTGTTAGTAAACAAATTGTAAGACCTTTGTCACTAGTGGTCATTAACAGGTGCTAATGAGAATAAAGCATCATGATTAGCCTTTAATTACCTTCACCATGTGCAACATTTGGCTCAACTGACATGTTAAAAGAGTTGCTTTTGGTCATAGTTAATATATATGACATGGTTTGGAAACCCTTTGTTTTAGGTGATTGTGTACCTAATGTGCAGGGGACCTCATGGTTGGAAAATCCTTTGTCTTTCTATTGTTTGACAATAGTCAGTTCAGTAAGCTTGGCGAAGGGAATGGGTACCAAGTATTTGTTTTGCCTACCAGGGCTATATCTTATGGCATATTTTGCAAATAACGAAGTATTACCACCATTTTTCGATGGAGAATTTTGTGTTACATCGTTTGGTCAATTCTCATTGATTAATTAAAACCAATATGTGCAGGGTCAAACTGACTGTTCAACCTCCATGTTTGTTTATAGCATAATTTCTTTGAAGTTTGCCGGGTTTCCTAACCAGGTCTTATAACAACCATGTTTTGGTCAAGCTGTCATCCAATACACAAATTCTTGTTAATAACAGGATGGACAAAAAACTTTCTCTTCTATTCCCCAAACAACTTTTATTAAAAATGCTGTACAATCTGATCTGTGCATGTGCCCAAAGGAGCCTCCTTTTTATTATACAAACAGTTTATTTAGGATTTTATTCCATTTTATGTTCTTACAAAGCTTGATTGTTCTGTCTTGATAATTTATTATACTCTAGAATCATGAAAATATAAATAGTTGTCAAAATTCAATATTTTGGATTGGTACTGAAATGCAAAAAGCGCCTTTGTTTATATATGGACTGTACCGCATCTTTAATATGACAAGGCATAGTAAAAGTTACTGCTTCCCTGCCGGCTCATGGTTTTGCTTGTCCCCTTTTCTGACAATATCTCCACTGAAGTTTTACCTTCAGTTGCTATATTTCAAGAGTAAAAAACTGGGGGATGAGGATGACAAATAGACATAAATTTATAGTAGATTATGTTATGAATGTCCAAAAGTGGCAAAGATGTGTCTGCCACCAATCCCCCTAGGGTCAACACCCTTGCTATATTCAGTGGCGCCGTGGGACCCATGTTTTTGGGGGGCCAAGGGCAGTGCTTTTCCGACAAACCGAAATTTTTTTCCAACAAACCAAAAATTATTCCGGATGACAACATTTTAAACTTCACCCACCCCCACCCTCCCCCCGTCGACAACATTGACAATTTTCCGACGGGTCGCAAACAGTAGGGGGGGGGGGCATGTCCCCCCCCCCGGCCACAACACCACTGGCTATATTCAGACTTACGCATCCTGTATTTTTATAATTCAGTTCCACTATGGGAGCAATTTATGAAGAACACAAAGACGAAGACGGATTCTTGTACATAGCATACAGTGGTGAGAACACCTTTGGCCAGTGACACAACACTGTAAACTTCTTCATTTTTGAACATCTTTTGAGTGAGACTACGTATAACATTTTGGTAATTGATAGGACTATGTTAAAAACAGTATCACAGTTTTACAAAACCAAGACCTTGTAAATATGATATAACTTTTCTTGGTAAAAATATTCTAATATCCTGCACGATAAAAAATAAATGTAGTAATCGATTTATTTCTATTTGGTTATGTCTAACACACAATACATGTATATCAGGGAAGAGTTTCAAGAGTTCACTTGAAGTTTGCTTGGCCTTGGGTGAAAGTCAATTTCAAGTTGACTCCGTATTGTCATGTTTTGAATTTTATTTCCGGTAATTTAATGTAATTTTCATAGAATTGTGCTGTGTTGAATTTGTATTATATAAATGGTAGAAACTGTATATCTTTGTTTTTTGGATTGCAAGTTGTAGAAAAATATTAGACTAAGTGGTAGAACCTTATTTACATTAAAGCCCAGTTGCCAGAAGAGATGCATCCTTCCACGGCAGATATTATGTAAAGAATTGTGAATATTTCACTAGAACACAACTAGTTTTAAATACGTTTAAATTGAATTTCATACATGCAGTATTTCAAATGTTGTGATTGATTATCTGTTTCAAAACTTTTGAAATCATGCATACAGCTATTTCAATATTAAGGTTGTCCAACAGCAAAGCGGAAAAGTCGAATACGAGCGCGAAAGGCTGACAAGGTTCCCGACTGACGACTCAGTTGTTAGCGTTTCATCATGCATAAAATGAACGAATAATTAACAAATAATTCAACAAAATCAACATATATTTCGACTGTTAAAACAATAAAAGCTATAAAAACTAGAACAATGTATAAACAAACAATATTTCACTCACAGGATAGTAGTGACAATTGCATGACAACACTAGTCACTTATAAAGATCACATAAATAACAAATTTAAACTCAAGACCAAGTACACACGTAAAAACGCACAAGTTGGTACAGGTCTGCAAACAAGTTGTTACAAATCTGTTCACAAGCTGTCGACAAGTTGTCTTCGCACTGCTTGTTCCTTAGTTGTTGTAAAAAGTTTGGAACAAGCTGTTTCTGCTGTTAACAACTTGTAACAAACTTGATTACATTATCAGACTTGTTACAAGGTTGTTCTAACGAATCTGATGGCGACACACAAGGTTGTAACAATATTGTTATATCGTGACTTCACTGTACTGGACTTGTTGGAACAACCTTACTTATTGCCTGATAATATCAACAAGGTTGTTGCAAGGTGTTAACAGCTTGTTCCAAACTTGTTGACAACTTGGGACACGAAGTGCGAGCACAACTTGTTGACGGCTTGTTGGGAGACTTGCTACAAGATTTGAGATTTTTACGCCTGTAATTTCTGGTCTCGTTCAGAGCAAAACGGTTCTGACATTGTCAGATAGAGGATAAATGCATTAACCTAGTGTATAGAAAGTCGTAGTGATAGTCCTTGCACCATGTAGTATATGTATGTGTGCTATCTTTTGGATCTTCAGGCTGAACAGCAGGGATTATTTTAAGGTGCAGTGATAACAATTTGTAAAGTGTCAGTGATAAATGGGATTCTGTGCAGTACTGATTTTCTTTAATATTTAACGATTCCGGTTTTCACTTTAAGGTTTTCAAATTTCAGGTTAGGTTATAATTAGTTCAGGAATCAGTCTATCAGTTACACATGATCAACTGTTCAGATTATATGGGATCCAAGCCAACCACCCAAAGTATAACCGAGCCCTAACATGACTAACATAATTATCCCTAATGTTTGTGACATTTTGTAAGTCCAGTCTAAATGTGTTGGCTGACATTGAAACCCTGAGGGTTAAAGATTATGATCAGGTGCACAAATGCTGTCAAGTGCTCTTAACAAAAAAACTTCCCTGTATAATAATTTGTCGGCATCGCTTATCACGTCAACAAAAGTGATGCTGACAAAGTGAAAAGTCGTTTCGCGCGAACAAATTCGGCTACTTCTGCTCGAATTCTAGTTCTTGCTAGTTCTAGCGGAAAACGGGATTTATAGGGATAGTGCCCTCCAGCGGATAGTGTCAGGGGGGGATGTGTGTTCCACTGTGATACTGATGTCATAGCCGAATGATCATGAATGCCAAACCCTCGTAGACGCCGAGTGTGTCACACGCCCCCTCCATACCTCCTAGAGACCGGTCAATTTTAAAACCTTTGACATTATTTATTAACCTAATATTGGCCGACCTATATTAACTAAGTCTATTAAATATTGGCGTTCTAAAATATTTTACAAACGCAAATGTCAAGCACAAAAAGACTGTTTACTTTGAAAGAAATTTCAAAACATAATTCGCCAGGAAATATATGGATTGTAGTACATGGAAAAGTGTACAATATTTCGAAATTTATCACCGAGGTAAATGTCAATTTTATAGTGATACGCAATGTGTCTGAGTGTTTCAAACAAATATTTACATTCTGCTTTTCTTTATATCAATTAAGCCTGATTATTTGTAGATCGATATCTCTCAATACAAATACTTAATGTCGAAGTACTCTTAACTCACTCAAAGTACATGTTTGGAAAAATTATGTATAAAAAATAGAAACTTGTCGAAGACTGTCATATTAAAATTCGCAGTTATAGTGTTATACTGTAAAGTTTTGATGATTGCCCAAACACAATGTAAAGTCGGTCGACAAGCTTTACAAGGAGCTATATACTAGTAAAGCTTTGTGGGTATTGATTGTATCTTATTAGGGGACGGGTGTCGGGTTGTAAGTCGTAATTTCGTTAATTCGTATACCATTTAATATAATTTTTATGATTTAGCACCCAGGAGGTGAAATACCACTGTTTGATAAAGCAGGTAAATTCAAATTGTATCAATATATTAAATTGTTTCTGAGTTGTATAATTTATAATGAGAAAAGATCCTCCCTGTCCCCAAGGCCAAGGAGGAAATTTCTGCCTTCTGGAGGGCAGGGCAATTTTTAATATACAGGCTAACAGGCTGTCCCAAAAAATGCCCCCCCCCCCACCCTATTGTTGGTTAATTACTATAAGTTATGACAGGTTGAGGCTCATGCCTTAACAACAGTAATGTAATGGATTAAAATTTTCTGAGCAGTGGATGTTTGAATGAATTTTCACTTGAAATTCCATGCATCTACTGAAATCTCATTTATCTGCCTATATACATATAGCCTATCACTACTAGTATTTCAAAGCAAAAGTCAATCCCATTTACTTTGAAGTTCTACTGGTTATTGATTGATGTCAATTGTCTAACAAATGTGTCCTGTAATCCTTAATTAATATGTAGGAGAGGATGCCACAGAGGCATTTGATAATATCGGTCATTCCGAAGAGGCAAAACATCTGATGAAAGAATATTATATTGGTGATATTTATGATGATGCTGATATGTAATGGCCGGTTCAAGCATTAAATATTGTTCCACTTCATGCACAAATAAATCTTTCATTCCAACCAAGACCAAAGAAGACAAAATTGTTACAGAATATTTAAAATTTGTACACATAACAGTTTTATAAAAGAATTAATCTGTAATGCCTTTAAACCCATATCATGTTGGAAACAGAATATCATGGTTGCATGAGTTAATGAGGAAATAATATTTATAAAGTATAGCATGAGAACGATTTATGGAAATATGCACAGCAGGATGGTTGCAAAAATGTGAGCTGACATGGTTCGTGATTTTAAAAATTAATAACTAAGAACTCTACTCTACTGTGTGCCTTGTGTAAAATATTTTATTTATTTAAAAAATAAAAATTTAAATAAAAAATTGTGTAAGATACTAATGAACAAATTAATATTAATTTTGTATAAATAAGTATTTTAACATTTTTTTCTAGAGTAATAAGAAATTCAAAAGATATAAAAGTTATAAACAAAGCGCAGTTTTTGGTAAAATTAAAAAGCGCGTTTACACATGATATGCTAATGATTTGGATTGCGTAACACCAGGGTAACACTCGGTACCAGTTTCATATACAAGGTCGTGTTCGAACTTTAGCCTATTTCGTATTTTCGTTTTCCTATTTTATATTTACGTATATATCTGTTGCAAAATCTCCAAAATTGTGGCATTTTAACAACAATTTAGCTTGAAATCGGTTGGTTCTACTCACTTAAAATGTCAGGAGAAAAGAAAATCATTACTTTAGCCGAATTGCAAGAACATGACACGGCGAAATCACTGTGGATCGCAATAAATAACCACGTTTACGATATAACTAAATTTTTGGACGAGGTAGGCATGTATGACATGTTTTATAGATACTAAAAGACGATTAGAACGTAGAAAACAACGTGGTTTTTACAGATTAAATAGCGGCCATAGTTCAATGTTTAAAGCATCCTACAAGTTTTTTACCTAAATTTTATAGCCATAAGGCATCTTGTGAAGGCAGTGCCCAGTGAAGCAAGAATGTCAATGTGTCACAAAATTATGCAAGCTTCCGATTGATAGGGATGCAACTACCTTAAAAATACAAGGAGAACTTTGCCGTTTTGAGTGAAGGTGCTTTGTCGGGATGTTTATAGAAGGCCTTCATTCGAAATATGCATTGATCAGGTACTGCATGTAGACTATGTAGTTGCATTCCTATCCAATCCAAAGCTTTCTTATTATTGGCACAGAGTAAATACATATACAGAGCTGTAACTGACCGTTGTAAACACTGCGGAAGCTTACGTTTTCATGTACCCACTTTTTTCAGGCGACCAGGCAAAAAATGATCAACTGTGCGTGCTCGGCAAGTTTTAAAGCGAGCCGCGCTATCCAATCAGATGCATGCATCTAGTAACTTGCCGAGCATGCACACAAAAAAGTGGGTACACTAGTTAGTTACAACTCTGTATATGTATCTACTCTGTGTTATTGGCACTACCTACACTGGCACAGACTTATAATTTACAAAATCATGACTTTTGACTTGTGAGATAGGAATGGGTCCAGACCATTTCATAATGCAGTGATTTTGTACTCGATTGCTTAGTCAGTTTCGTAGCCAAATTCTGGTCATTTTGTACCCGACTCTGGTGGCTGACTGCACTTTAATAAAATGCAAGAATGATCATATATAATTGAATATAACTTGAGTTTTTGTAGCTACAGTACAATAAATTTAGACAAACAAGTGTGTGTACTAAACCTTTTTAAAAAGCACCACTGTAAACTATTTACAGAAAGTTGTCACATTAACTGTGCTGGATATGGCCACTCTGATCAATACATTTTTTGAGAATGATGCTAAATTTTGTACCATGCTCAATGAGACAACTTGCCTGCAAGTAATTTAAAACTCTAATGCTGGAAAGTGCAGTTTAAACTGGAGAATATTTTCTATAAGATAAACACTATAAAATTTCACCATAAAATTCTGGGTACTGAATGACCTGGATCTCTGGGTACAAACTGTCTTAAGGATGAGTATGAATCGACATAGCTTGGCTAAGAAATGGTAAAGGCAGAGTATGAAACTGTAAGCGTATGAAAAGGTAGAACTACAAAACGACAGTAAACCATAGGAATTTGGGAAGCATGCACAAATTCAACCAGTTCCATTTGTTCGCCCTTGAATTTGTACGGTAAGTTGATCACCTGATCACTAAGTCTTGTGTGAATTCAAAATGTGAAATCTGAATATGGTTTGTTTTCTTGTATGACAGGGGTCGAAATTGACAATTGTTAGAACTACTATATTCTTCAACCAGAATAGTATATTTTGAAATTTACTGTTCCATCTGAAGATCCACTCTTTTGTTATGTTTTGTTTATCACTAGCATCCTGGAGGAGAAGAAGTTTTATTAGACCAAGCAGGTATTGCAAAGAAAATTGTTGTTCTGGTTGAAATATTAGGGTGTTAGCCAAAAGTAACAAAAAATCTGCATTTAACTGATATTGGGGAAAAAGTAATTGAATATTTATAATATTAAATAACTATTTTTTGGCTGACAAAATTGCGACCTCAAGGTAACTGGGAAAATCGCATTTAACGCAGAATTTTTTACTGTAGCTAACACCCTGAATGTTTGTGTGTTGTGGCAATACACTTTTGAGAGTTTGTTTTCATGATTAATTTTGTGATCTTGGGTTTAGAGTTCCTTATCTTGTTACAGGTGACACATTTATGAAATCATACAGATATATTAGATAATATGAAAGACCTTTATAAATTAGGTCATCTAATGCAGGCCGTTAAGCCGATATCTCAATCCTGGAAACAAGGCTCGATCTGTAGCCAAGTCTAAGTACTTTCCAGAAGGGTCTATTCCAAATGATCACACTCATGGCCATTGCTGACCAATGTCAAGCAAAAGAGATTTAATTAAAGACAAAATTATTTTCCAACGTACCTATTCTATTTTTTCAAGATATGAAACTAGAACCACAGTATATCTTTTATTAGGGCATCACTAAATGGTGGAAATGTGCATTTGGATGCACAGTCTGACCCAAATCCTACTTATTTCATTGTGAAAGAAATGCTCTTGCCCTCAATGAACTTCCACTAAGCAAAATAAACAGTATTTATATTTCACCAAAGCCCCGTTTACACTACGCTCAATTTTTGGTACCGTACCACTTTGGTTCTTGGACTACCTAAATAGTCCATAGAACAAAAAAAGTGGAACAAAAAACAGTGGTACAGGTACCATTATTTTAAACAACTCATTAATGCCCCCATAATAAATTTGTGTGGCGTTAGATAGAGTAAAATATGAAAGTGGGGTGCATCAAGGCAAACTGGTTGACAATATTATTATATAATGATTGGGCGTACAGTTTGGGATGTATAAGGGCTAAACTCTGTCTGCCTTATTTCAAAGGACAACGAGCAACAGAGGCTTTTGAAGACGTTGGTCATTCTAACGAAGCCAGAGAGCTCATGAAAGATTATCATATCGGTGAATTGGCTAAGGTGAGAAATTATATTGTCTACATTTTCACCTCAATCGACTGGCCCAATTTATGCTTGAGAGGGATAATCCATCAAGATGCATCTGACGAACTATGCCAGAAGTAACAAAACTAGCCAGAAGTAACATGATTTGTTAATAACAATGTTTGTGGTGTTACACTCAGAGTAACACCACAAACATCATATTCACCTGAGCTAGTACATAACACCAACACACACAAAATGTATGTTCTGGGAACAAATCACGTTTTCCAGATAGTTTGTCTTGAACTACACACACGTCATGAAATACACATGCAAGTTTTTCTGAGTAGGACAAATATGTAATATTAGTGTCGGATGTACATACAGGTATCCAATATCCAGTGGAATATAGACATCTGACAATGCCCGCTGCCGATTGAGAGAGGTACAACTACATGAAAAATAGAGACACAACTTCAACGTTTTGAGTGAAAGCCCTTCTTCACTTCCCAACGAAGTTGTAGGTAGTGATTGACCTTGATTGGCCGATAATCGGTATCGACTATCGGGCCGATTTTTGCCTTATCGGGAGACAATCGGAATCGGTAGAATTGTCTATATTTCCGATTGTCTAAAACAGATTGTTGAGAAAATACACACTTTAAAAATTATATGCATTGCGCGTTGATACACGTTGCGTTTTAACGCAACATATTGAATTAATGCGTGAAGCGTGGTTACATGGTGTAACCACAAATTGCTCCTTATTTTTACTATGAACGCCATGCAAACTTGCACCTTCAATGTTTTAAATTTGAAATTCACGATTTTCAGGATGATCACGAAGGAGGTTATGAACCGGTAAGATAAAAATGAAGTTGAGGGGATGTGGTAATAAAAATCTAATTTGTCTCATTTGAAAGAACTTTTAAAATTATGGGGACAACTATTTTACAGCTTCTTCAAATGTTTATTAGTTCTCCAAATATTTAGACCCAAATCATCATAAATCAGTGAACTGTTGGTGTGACACAGGCTAGTGAGCTGTCCGTCATCTTAGATCATAGACGGATCTTGTGGGGGGGGGGGGCACCCCAATATTAGGCTCCCCCTCAATATTCGGCATAATAAAAAATAATTAATATATAATAATTAATAATAAGAAATATAAGGAAATAAATTTTCCGACGCAAGATATGAAAAGTTGATAAAAGAGTTTCATATATGATTTTGAAAGTTCTATCAAATTATACAAACTTATTTTTCATCGCTATATTCCTTTAAGAATTGCAAATAATTGATTAAAAACCAACTTCTAGTTACACCTTTTTTGTAAACGACAGTCAATTTGAATTTTTATTGAAGCAAACAAGCTCATGTAAGCTTTCTTGACTTTCATTTAAAGTATGATCCAGACGAAGAAGGCTCAAGTAATCTATCAACGTGAGTGGACATATTTTTTCTTTTAAGAAGTGTAAATCAATTAGCTCTATACAACAGTGTAACTTCTGAAATTCACTCTCGTTTGTGTATAAATTGATTGATTCTACTCTGTGTTTCATTTAGAGCATTGTCATGGTTTATCCCAGCTGCTATCTGTATTGGAATTTTTGCGGTGGCTATATATAGAATGATGTCGAACTGACCAATGAACTATAAATGGACATATATACCTAATTTTATTTTGCCAATACACCTAAGAAATTTTCGTAGCTATAAAATATTAAAATATTACTAGGCTAGATTGTTGTGTCAAAATAGTAAAATCTGGGACATTCTAAATTCCTGTTTCGTTGTTTGCGGTTGTTTATAATATTTTTTTTACAAAAGCTAGTTTCAATGGGGGCGTCTGGCGATATTTGCAAGGTCGCGGTGTGTCGCAGCTCATCGAGAACTGGACGACCAATTGACTTCAACTATTTTTAAAGGCATACATCGATGGAGGACATGGAGCATGTCTAACGCCAGCCGGAAGTACATTCCATCACTTAGCTCCGCTGTATTTCAATGTGTTTTTTTTTTGAGAAATTCTCTTTTCGGCATTCGAAGTGATAGATTTTATTATTATTTCTGAGATCATATGCCGTTTGTACATCACTTCTCGAAATAAACAGTTGTTTCAAATTGTAAGCGGTGTGGTTATTAAAGACCATGTATACATCCGTTCTGCGCATACGTTCTGCGCAGGCTTGCATTCCAATGGTCGGTACCCGACCGTTGGAATGTTACTATTTACTAATATTTCGTATCTTTTGACTTTCTTGAATTGAACCTCTAGTCTGTATTCATTTACAAGCATAGCGAACCAGAAGAGTGTTAAAAATTCAATATAATATATATCTAATCATATTTTACAACTGTAGCACTGAGTTCAAAATGTAAACAAAGCGTTTGTTTACATTACGGACATTACATGGTCTTTAAAGATTTTATAAAGAAAGATAGATTTGTATTTGGCACGTCTTACATTAGGAGGTTTCCAAATGAGGTTTGTGTGGAAATTGCAAAGCCAACTTCGCACGTTGCTGATACTTTCTTTTCTATTCGCAAAGCAACTTTTATGAATATGACAAGGCATGGTAAAAGGTCACTGCTTCCCTGCCAGCTCTTGGTTTTGCTAATAATGCTATAAAGGCATAAAGCCCTCTTTTCTAACAATATATCTTCTACCTTCATTTGCTATATTTCAAGAGCGACTATCCATTGAAAAAAACTGGGGGGCGGCATTTTCATAACATTGGACATTCCCGAGGTACAAAACTTCAGGTGGTAGAATTATGTTGGTGAAGACCGCTAATATGTCATGGCAAGCATTCTGATTCCGCTTCATCCACGACTCAATCTTTCAATTAGCCTTTCTCACGCCGCCATTTTTGGGTGGCATTTTAGCCGAAGTCTGCGAGATAAGTCAACATAACAGCAACTTTTTATAATTTTTTGGACAAATGATGATAAATTTGCCTGTAAATGGTTAGTTTATTTTGAAAAATTGCTTTTCACTTTGTTTTAATTGTCTACATTGGTTAACGAGAATTGAATGCCACCCAAAAATAGCGGATATTCGTCATCGTGAGAAAGGCTAATTCATTTCAACTGCGACCAAAAAAGACCAATTTTTTACAGACTGTACAACTTATTCATTAAATTTGTACATATAACAATTTTATAGACAAATTAATCACAAATGGTCAATTTTGTATTGACATTCTTGGGGAACCAGATTGGCGTGGGATTGACGTATGATATGCTAATTATTTAGATTGCGTAATACTCGGTACCAGTTTCTCATATAAGGTCGTGTTCGAAGGGGTTGACTACCTCACGGGCGTTCTTTGAGGGTGACGTCAATACAATTGGAAAGCGGTTTTCCACTATAATCTCGTAATATCTTCGTAAAATCTTCG